AAAGATTATGTAAATTCTACAAATTGAGCGTAACAATTAATAATTATTTATTAATAATTTAAAAATTTTTTAATTTGTAATGAATTTTGACAAATAATTTATTTACTACAAAGTTTGTATTAAATAATTTCACATCACTTTATTTTATTATTCGTTATTTGCTATTTTTCCTATTTTACATTAATTGTTATAGTTAATACATTGTAACTTATTTATTTGTTATAAATAATATTGTAAGTACTTATAATTCATTTTATATTCATTTTATATTCAACACATTACATTCGAATTTATAATATACATTGTTACAATACGAGAATTCGTATTGTATAAACGATCATTTGAGATGATTTTTATACTTCAGGAGGTTTTGATAGATTGGACTACGAATTTATGTCATAAATTCTTTCTATTATGAATATTAGGTCTCGGAAACTCCAACTGTAAAATAAATATGAATTTCTAATTGATATAAAAAAACTGTAAGCTTCTCATCTTTGAGACGCTGGGACGTAGAAAGAAGTACTATTCTCGGATTATAGTTTAATGTAAGTATATTTAAATTATGTTGATGTACATATCACTACCAACATGGTGAAAATTATGTAAACACCATATGGTATCAAATTCATACCCATATTTTTTAGAGTTTTTGCTTTTTTAAGCATGGCTATGATAGAATCCAAAGTCTCTTCTCCAGTCGGGATAATTTGCAGGGAGCAACAAAAAACCGTATTGACCTTTATCACATAATTCATAAACGTAGACGATTGATTTATTATATGTGCCTTTTATCCAATCGATAGTATTTCCAGAAGCCTCATCTAAATACAAAATGAATAAGTTTAAAAAATCATCTTTTTGTACAATTATCATAAACTCGGAATGTGATGCAATAATATTGCATCAATTTCGAAAAATTTTTAATATGATAAAAAGAAGAAATTTTTTGATAAATCAATCGAAAAAAATATAAAAATATTTAAGTATTGATAAGATATAAAGATATACAGATATATAAGTAGATAGAAGGGCGGAGAGAAAAAGAGAGAGAGAGGGAAAAATAAATGAAATTTTTTTCTTCTATATACACATTGTTTCGGCAATACTTCCGACTGTATAGTTAGTTCCATATCTCTTTGCGAGAGCTGTAATCATTTTCATGCCAATATCATACTAAAACATCATAAATATAAACTTTGTAATTCTATTATTTTTATGAATTAAATTAGAATAATCTCCAATTATTCATATACGATGTTTTAAATTGTTACTTATAAATAGTTGTGTTAACCATAAGATCATGATGAACTACTTCAAATGCTTCTATCATTGAATTGAGTCACTTACTATTAAATTATTAAACTATTAAAATTGTTGTTAAATTTATATGAAGAATTATTTACTTCTCAATATATGTATATATATAATACATATAATTGACATGTAAGTTAGGTATTGTATTTTTTAGCTCAAAATTATGTGTAGAATATATTCGTAAAAAATGTGTGAAATAATTTAAATTTCAAAAAAGGATTTTAAAGTTTAAAATGTCTACTTTCGAAAAAGTTACTATATTTTTTTAGTTTCTATCAGTAAGTTTTGCATATAAAAAATTACGAGCTGGACAAAGTGGGAAATTTTTTCTTATTTTGTAGGCGTGTCACGTGCCTAAAAAATTTGTAAAAATTTTCGACTATCTAACGTTTAAAAAATTTTACGAAAGTTTAAAAAATTTTCCCTATAAAATCATTTTTTTTAATGTTTCTTTTTTGTCATTGAGTTATCCATGGGTTAATTCTTATAAAAGGAGCATTCTTTCATTGCTCATAACTTCATCAAAAATTTTTATCTAATTAAAAAAAAACAAATTCTTAAAGCTGAAACTTTATCGAATCGTATAATTACCAATTTTTTTAAAATAGAATGTATAAATTTGAATTAAAAATATATGATATTACTATTTTTAAAACAGAGATTTTAAGCTTTAAAACTCTATAATTTTGAACTAAAAAATATGATATTATTATCTTTTCAACTGAATAATTATTCAACTGAATGATAATTATAAAAACTAATTGTTTTATTAATTTATTAATTTTTCATACATAAATATTTTATTTTAATTTCTCAAAGCTATATTTATTTTACAATTAAAATTACTCACCAAGTCGTAATTATCAACACGATCTGTTGTATAACCATAAGGGAACATCAATAGTTGCGAACAGCTATGGAACCCAATATACACATAGAATTTGTCGGAAATGGAATTGATATATGTGGACTCTTTGTCTCAATTTCGGAGAATGGCGTAGGTCCGGCATAGGTTTCAGAACATGGATTATTGCTAGAGCCTCCAGCTGAAATTGTTAAATTATACATAAATATATATAATATTAAGAAACATCGAGTACATTTTAATATAAGTTCTCTAAAGTCGATAAATAATCTCGACTTTTTATTAGAATATTATTTGATTTTTGATTATAGTTTTCTAATACAAATTTTAATACACATTATAACAATTTACTGTTCCATTTGTAATCCCAATTCCTGTTGAGGTCGCAGCCATAACAATGGAAACCATACGGCTTACGTGTTTTTCTCCAAAGTCGATTCTGAACCAAATTAAAAATATTTGTATAATTAAGCGTTAATTTATAAATTAGTTAACAATGCTTTATTGCTTTATGACATTATAAAACAGCACTTACCGTAGTGTGCGTGTACACGTATCCATCGGGATTAAACACTGGGAAGATATACCAATCATGGCTCTCAGCCAGAGTCCTGACCTCCGTGTTGTTGCTTGTCAGCAATTGATGGAAGATATACATGGCAGTTGCTGGCGCGATCCATTCCCCGGCATGAATGCCACTTTCAATAAAGACTCCAGGATTGTTCGCTTTAAAAGAAACCTTGACACCTTTGATTTTACGTCCCTCGTATGTCTTGCCGCCTACTATAGTTTGCATTATATCGGGATATTGCTTTGCCAAGATCATCTAGATTCTTGTAAATTGTATCGAGATGGTGGTAATTTTTAAAATCAAATTTCATTGATACATTTGCTGGCACTGCCCGATTGATTAATGTCTAAACATTCTCAATATAAACTTCGTATGGTGCTTGGATCTGCGCCATCATTTCGTAGAATTCGGATAGCTTGATAGCGGGGCTACCATAAGATCCACTTGTTTACTCACAGGCGATGCCTTCCATAAGGAAAACTATAAATGATATATATTTAATTTGTTTATTTAAAAGAAAATAATGTTAGTTTAAAAAATTAATTATATATTTGTCAGTTTTTTGTCTTCTAAATGTTGCATGATAAATAATTTGACAAAAACAATAATAATTATATAGGACTCTCAATCTTTAAAATATAAACATAACTAATGTAAATCAAAGTTAATGAAACGCAGGTGATTAGGCGCAAGATCTTGAAATAATGAAATTTACATATATTCTGTTGATAAACAATGTTTTCTTTATTATGAACGTTTCAACTCACTTTGGAGTACTCTTCAGCAAAATAGCAATATAACAAAATACTCATATCCATAAAGGATCCAAAAAGGATCATTTGCATTTTAACTCTCATTAGACTTGATTTATATTAGTTATGTTTATATTTTAAATAATTTGATGTGGATAAAGTTGATTTATAAATATAAATTTTTATTAACACGTGTACGTTAATTTTATGAGATTAATTTTTAAAATTTTAGTTATACAGTCATATAAATGTTACAAATCTCTTAAGAGATTAATTAGAGATATTAATTAAGAGATATTAATTTGCCTTTATTTATCTTTAATCTTTATGCTTGAAAGATCTACTCACTCCATCTGAAATTTTTGCCAAACGATTAAACAACTCAGTCCGCGTCGATGTAGTAGTAATTTTGAAAACCTTATGATTTTCAAAAGTGACTTGCTTGTCGGCCACCGATACCACGGTGCATAATATGCTCCACATAATGATCATAGTACCCTTCAATTTTAATATCAACTTTAATTAATCTTTTTGCGTCGCATTTTAAGTATTTTTTTTTTTATTTATAGCAAGACTATTTTTACAAAATGCAATTTATATTTACCCGTCATTAATTTTGGTATGGATAATTGGTTTGCAATTAAAAGATAACAGTTTTTATAAGTATAAATTTGATGTGGTTTGGAGCGTGTCTTAACAGATCCCCGTGTCTCGTAATCGACTTTGATCTCACGTTCTCACATTCGGTCGCTATCTTTCGCGAATATTTTCCGCACACAAAATTATATGTAATAATATTATATTATTACCGCTATTGTTACAATTTGAAAGAATTAACTTTTAAATTTTCATGGAATTGCTGTATCATATTATGATTAATGATTACATATTATATTATAAATTTCTGCATCGATACAAATTATTTCGACTCTTCCTTTAAATGATCGAAG